TAAGCCTAGAAAAAAATTAGTTTTAAAGTAAAAATATTAAGGAACCTAAAATAAAAACATAATTTAAATATATATATATATATATAAATTAAAACTGTCAGGCCGGGTCGGGTACCCAATTATAATTTTTTGGCCCAGACCTGGCCCAACTACCTGAGAAAAATCACAGGTTAGATAAATTTTTTGAATTACCCAAAATTTTTAAGTTTGGATCGACGAGTCAACGGATTAAATCAATCAAATTAAGTATTTTTGAATACCTCTAATTACAGCAGCGGTTAATACAACTATTATTGCTACAATAATTTTATCTCATTTTATTCTTTATGTTGCCTTTCCTAGCTTATACATACCGACATCCTGTTAGCATTCACAATCATCCTAAAATCTAAAAAACGTTTCCCACTGCGTTTTCCTTACTTGAGTTTTAAACTTACTGCTTTCTTTCGAGTTTTAGGAGAAGAACAATATTACCACCGTCTACTTTCAAATTTCGGGTGTACGGTTTTTAGAGAGATCGTATTAATTTTGGAGATATCTTCTAATACAACAATTACATAAATAGAGACGAACTTACTTATAAGACAACAATTCATAATGACATAACCTATTAATTTCCTTTTGTGATTTCTTATTTTATTCATCTGATAGTATGAACACCTCATTTTATTGCTAAGCCTTTGGAACTGATAAAGGTTCAATGGGTTTCTTTTATTTTCTTCGAGGTACGACAACAATTCTTCTTATTTCTAACATAAGTTGACGGTGCTGTGATTGGTAAAATGAATTTATAATTGAATAAAAATGTTAAAGATTTCTTTCTCTGAGAATATAAAATACATAAAAGGCAAACACTGCGATGGATAAATAGTGTAAAAATTTTGACACCCATCCAAGCTTAGTTTTTCTTATATGAAAATGTTTATTTTGCAAACAAAGGCAGTACCTATATTTTATTTGTGTACATGCAGCACGTGTTTGCATTCAAGCACACACGACGTGTCTATCTCTGTAGGTACTCTGCAGAATTGCAGCTTCAACCACAGAATTAATGGAACACCGACACACACAGGTTCGTCTTGTTCTTTTGATAATATATGTGCGATTTATACTATCCATTCCTCCACCAAAAGATCTGGAGAAAGCGTGAAAAGGAAAGATTTGGCCCATGCAGGTCTCGAACCTGCGACCTTCGCGTTATTAGCACGACGCTCTAACCAGCTGAGCTAATAGGCCATTTACTGTTAATTAATGAATTAAATTATAAATTGTAATTAACAGCCACACGCTCTAACCAACTGAGCTACTCCAGCTATTTGCTCCTTTGTACACACAAGCTTTAATTTTGGATTTATTAGAATTAATGTGGAAGGGAGGAGGAATCTTTGGAGCATGTCATTCTATTATGGAATTAAAACTAAAAAATATTAAAGAATTAAACTTGTGTAAAATAAATAAATTTTCAAAATAAGAATAATTTAGTAAGATATGTGTTTGAGTAATTATATATTTCCTACGTCAAATATCATAATCTTACATTTTGATTAAATGAATAAAATAGTAATATTCTCTTTAATATAAATACATTACATAATTATATATTATCAAAGTTAATTATTATATTTTATGAATAAAACACGTTATAAAGGTATGATCTACATATATCTAAAAATTACTACATTACACTCTCAACTAGTGAATTCATGTTCATTCATTAAAATTACATTCCTAAGATAAATAGCCACCAAAATTAAACATATATTACAAATTGTAGAATTTAAAATTCAATCAACATTAAATATTGGAGAAAGAGAAACAATAAAATAATTGCATGGCGCATATACCGTTGAATCAAATAATTAAGTTAATATATATTTTTATTAGTCAATTATTATATTTAATATGAAAATAATATATTTTAATATTTAATTTATCTTGTGATTAAATAGGATAACTTTTAAATCGAATTAGATCGAGGATTAATCTTATTACACTCTCACTAAAGATCCTCTACACATCATCCTTGCCCCTCACAATCATTAGAGAATCCCATAGCATCCCTAACCCCAAACAATGTATTTTATCATTCTTTATGTGTTGATTATATTTGTTTATTTATAAATATAGTAATTAATATTTGGATAATACACAAATGATCCTTTGATTATAGGGTGTTTCTTTGTTGACTTCTATGACTATTAAAAGTTACACAATGGTCCATCGACTATAAGACGCTACTTTGTTGAGTCCCCTCGACTATTTAAAGTTAAAAAATATTCACTTGATTATTCATATGTTCCAAACTCATTATTTTTAGTTAAAAGAATTTGTGGTCGTCTGAGTTGGACGTTAACCTGCTCATTGAGATATGATAAAATCTGATCCCATAACAATTTGAGTTGTATTTTGTGGATCGAGTATTTATTTACATTATGCCATCGAGCTAGTACTTGAAACATTATGATGTCAAGCCAGTGCTTGAAAGCAATGGTGGTGCTGATATATATCATTAAAATATAATTTTATCATATCCTAGTAAGTATGTTAACATTCAGTTCAGACGGGCGGAAATTTGTAATGGAAAATGACGAGTTTGAAACACATGAATAGTCAGATGATCATTTTGCAACTTTTAATAATCGAAGGACTTAAGAAAGCAATATCTTATAGTCGAGTGACTATTTTGTAACTTTTAATAGTTTGGGAACTCAACAAAGTAGAGCCTTATAATTGGGGGACCATTTGTGTACTTTACCCTTAATATTTATGTTTGATTATTTTTATCTAATAATTAAGAAATATGTCTATTTATGGTTTATTTATAATTAATGAACACGTTTTTTAATTACAGGCAACATGTTGAATTATATGTTTATTTGAATTATATGTTTATTTTCACATACACAAATATATGTAGTTGGGATAAACCAATACGACTGCAATTTTGAAATTGATACTAACAAAATTCTTAAAAGCTAGAACAAAATTAAAATGAATATAAATAGGAATATTGACTTTTAAAGACTAAATATTGAATTTGTACTTGTCGATTTAGAATTATTATTTAATTCCAATAAGAAATATAATAATATATATAAGAAAAGAGACAAACTACGTCCTTTTGAAGAAAAATGTGAAAAGAAAAAATTATTAGGTACAAAATTATCCATTTTAATTTAAAATCGTCACATGTGAAGATATATATATTTTAAATTGTAAAATGAATTTTCATTATTTTTTAGGTTTAATACGAAATATAAGTGATCAAATTATACTTTAAGTTAACTTTTGGCACTTAAATAACTTTTTGTTAAAAATAGATACATAATATTTTTTTCGTTATAATTTTAGGTGCCTAACAGTTTATCTGTTATACTTTTAGGCGTATACTTGTGACGACCATTAAAAAAGACAGTTAATTGACACATGTCACCTTTGTATATTTCTTGATTTTTTTTATTTTAAAAGAACTGAAAATATTTTTTTCAAAAATACCCTCAAAATTTTCTAATATCTCGAAACACCCCAAATCATCCTAAATTCTCTGTCATCGTTCATCGCCGTTCACAATCCTGTTCCAATTCATACTATTTCTTCAAGGATAAATTTTCAAGTTGAAAACAATCAATTGACCGACTCGAATTCATATTATTTCTTCAAGGAACACTGCTTCAATTCCGATAAAATTTCAATTCCTTAGACAACCTAATCTTGTGAACCCTATCTTCAGGGATAACCCCAGCATGCCTATTTACTCTTTGATGGCGTGAAAGTCGATGGCCTCACTGTTCCCATCTACAAATAAGAGCACGAAGAAGCGGGAGTATATAAACGAAGCATATAACATTTGAAAAAATTGGGATTTAGGGTTTAAATTTAGGAATTTGGGTATTCAGATTTAGGAATTTTTGGGGATTAGGGCGACGATAGGCCGATCAGTGAATGATTCGCTAGGAATGAGTGGTCGACAACGGTGACGGTTGTTGTAGATGCCAACAACGGTAATGAAAGTAAGAAATTTGGGATTTTTGTGATTTTAGAGAAATTCATGATATATATCTATATATAATTTTATTTTGTTTTGTTTTAAAAATAAAAATTCAAAAAAATATAAACGAGACAGATGTCACTTAATCGTGTTTTTTGACGACTGTTACAACGTAGGCATCTAAAAATATAACGGAGAAAACATTATGCACCTAAAAGTGTAACAGAGAAAATGTTAGACACCTATTTTAACGAAAAATTCTTTAAACACCTAAAGTTAACTTAATATAAAGTATAAATACTTATTTTTATATTAAGTATTTTTTTTAATTGGTTGTTTGGTAGAGTAATAAGTAAATATTCATCCTTTAAACTTAAATCGAAGATATAAGTTTAAATCGATTTGTTTTATAAATAGAAAAGAAAGGAGGGGCTAGACGTGTAATATAGACAATCTATGTAATTAATTGGTGCCATTCATATTGATGGTGCATGGGAACACCCTTCTTTGTCACGGAAGTTGGGAGGTTTATAGAAGGATTGAAATTAACATGTTGGTCCACCGTTGCCATCATGTCCACATTGCTGAAGCTGCCATTCTTAATCTCCTCTCGCCAATTTGCAATTGCACTGAGATTTTGTAATCAAACAAATCATTGCCCTTGTTTTTACAAGCAGGCTACTATATGGCCTAGATAGATTGGTAGGCCAATCTAAGGCCGGGCTCGTAACTTTAGAATTCGGTCTAATTAGTAGAATTATAATAAAATCTAACTTATTTTTTTAATTAGAATTTAAGTCAATATTAAACAAGATTAAACCGATTGTATGGATTGTAACTACGGTTGAATTGATTTTTTTAAATGGTTATAAATACCATTTCAGATTGTAAATATTAACATTTAACAATTTCAGTTCCTGCATGCATAGTTCTCTTTGGATTGAACGAGTATGCAGATTCAGATTGCAAGCAAAGAACAAATAGATCACCATTTCATACATATTAAGCGAATTTGAATGTTCAAAAGAATAACAGCAAATATCTAATCTATTATCATCCTTGATTTTATATAACACGAGAACAACCAAACTTCCTCTTACATATATATGTATGTATGGCGATTGCTGTCTTATTTGCCAAAATTCCACCAAGCAGCAGCACAGTAGAGATGTCATGTTTCATCCTGAAATCGAATCTGAGTAACAAACTGAATGGAACAATCCCGTGAAGGGCGCAATATTTTATGTTAGGCAACCCTTTCGGTCCATCCCTGGAACAATCCAATGCCTGCTTCTGTTGAGTCGTTATAGTGGCTGTCTCATTTGATAATATGCATATAGGATATGACTTTAAACTTCTTCGTTGACGATCGGACACTGGACCCTTTGGCATACCTACTGTTTGAAAATAAAAGGCACCGCATGTTGGGCAGTATCAGCTTCTAGCAAGTTACTATGGACCCCCTTTGCTTTAACTTCACTTAGCCTATCAATATCAAATGCATAGAAATTACAATTATGATTTACTGTTGTGGGGAAATAAAGATAGGGGCATAAAGGTTATTTACTAAATACGGAATTGATTTTGAAAATGAAATTATTGGATGACAGAAAAGAGAGTTCATTTTGTTTTGGGATAATAAATAAGCATATCTAACTGGTGCATGCACATAGACCATAGACGTGAAAGTGGAAATGTTTGGTCAATGCCCCCATTATTTTGGGCCCAAGAGGTTTGTTCAATGTCATAAATGCCACATGCACCCCCAAGAATACGATACCAAACGAGCATGAGATATGAAATAGAAACCTACCCACCTTGCCACTTGGAGGAGTGTTATTGGTCGTAGTTAGTATAACATTAGTGGTAGGCGCTAATACTATTGGACTTTGCGTTGGAGTTTGGGAGCCATATCCAAACATATTCATCTGCTGCAACACACATGATAGGATGCTTACAACATACGTATTGAGAGCGTAATGAATTAAATTCCACCAGACATACCTGGGAGGCATTTTGCATACGTTGGAAGCCCAGAAAGTGTGCATAATGGTCGGAAAACGTCGGATTTTGCACATGATGTTGGTGCTGTTGAGTTTGCCCCGTTGCAGCTGGAAGAGGATTGTGCATAGAAGGCGTTGCCATCCCCATCCCCATTCCCATGCGGGACATATAATGTTGTATTCCTGGAAACATCATTGGGGCCATCCCATTTCCCATCCACATTAACTGAAACACCCCCACATCTGACTGTCAGTCACAATATGATACAGTAACTCGAAAATATCGACACGGATTTAGATTGCAATCGCGGTCGTAGACCCGTTTCCTGTCTTCTAACGTGTTTATTATGGTTATAGACCTAATGGATGTTACCTGAAGCTGTAGCTGAAGCGACTTAAGATATTCAATTGCCTCATCTAACATGGATGCCTTGTCAGTCTGCAGCACAAACACTCATTCATTTAGGTTGAAATGACATGTTCTTTAATGTATGATTATAAACCATAGCCTAAAATCTGTAAATGACCTTGTTACAATGAGGTATGAGCTCTTTCAATGCTCGCATCTTCTCGTTGATCCTATCTCTCCGTCTCTGCAACAATATTATAATAAAGTCTATGAGCAAGCTAACATACATACACGCATGCATGCATGCAGATATTGTTAGGAAAATAAACCGAGTACAAGTAATTTTCCTATAACCAGATTAGTGAGAATGCGAAATAAAAGCGGAAAAATAATACCCGAAAATTGATAACGGAGTTCAGCCAATTGTGCTTACGTCTCCGGGCTGCTGCAGATCTTTTACTAAGAGAGAAAATTTACAGGTGTTTACAAAACACTCACTACTCACAAGAAAGCTCTCTAGTATATGAAGAAAGAAATGTTTTGGGATGATTTTGAAGCTAAATGGGTAAGGGTATTTATAGTAGAAACTTAGGGACTAATCTTTGAAAATACCCTAAAGTGCAATGACTAAAGTGAATTTACCCATTCCTATTTTCAACAAACATCTACCAAAATTTTACCAAACTTTGAAAAAACATTTTCCAAAGTTGGTTGCCAAACTTTGAAACTTTTAACAATCTTCCACTTGAAGACTGATTTTAATATGTCTTCACACCTCGATCAATGCAGCAGCATGTCTGGTCTTGTTATTCTAGCATGCCAACTGAAGCTGAACACAACTTCAGTTTGTCCGTAGTCACCGTCTTTGTCAACATGTCTGCCGGATTTTGAGCTCCACTAATCTTTTCAAGTTTCAAAATCCCATCTTCCAGAAGAGACCGGATAAAATGATATCTCAATTGTATGTGCTTTGTCCTGGAATGAAAAGACGGATTCTTTGCTAGATGGATAGCACTTTGACTGTCGCAATACAAGATAGTTTTCTTGTTTCTTGCCTAACTCTTCCAAGAAACTTTGGAGCCAAACCATCTCCTTGCTGGCTTCCGTAACAGCGACATATTCTGCTTCAGTTGTGGAGAGAGCAACTATCTTCTGTAGTTGAGAAACCCAACTCACTGCAGTTCCTCCTAGAGTATAGACATACCCTGTAGTGCTCCTTCTGATGTTGACATTTCCGGCTAAGTCAGCATCTACATAGCCTGTCAGTATCATATCTCCACCTTTGAAACAAAGTGCTTTGTTTGTGGTACCCCGAAGATATCTGAGGATCCATTTAACTGCTTCCCAGTGTACCTTGCCCGGATTATTCATGTACCTGCTAATAGCTCCCACTGCATGAGCAATATCTGGTCTGGTACAAACCATGGCATACATCAGACTTCCAATTGCTGAGGCATACGGCACCTTCACCATGTGTGCACGTTCTTCCTCCATCTTTGGTGATTGGTCTTTGGAGAGTCTGAAATGAACACCTAAAGGTGTACTTACTGGTTTAGCATCTTGCATGTTGAACCTGGAGAGTACTTTGTTGATGTACTCAGCCTGCGATAACATCAAAGTCCCCGACTTTGTGTCTCTCTTGATCCTCATCCCAAGAATCTGCTTTGCAGCGCCCAGATCCTTCATAGCAAACTGCTTCGACAATTTTTGCTTCAAGTTTATGATCTCTTGCATGTTTGAGCCTGCAACGAGCATGTCATCAACGTACAACAATAAAATAATGAAACTATTGTCGAACCTCTTGATGTAGCAACAATGATCTGCTTGGCATCTGGTAAAACCACTGCTACTCATGAAACTATCGAACTTCTTGTACCACTGTCTAGGAGCTTGTTTTAAACCATACAAGCTCTTCTTCAACCTGCATACCAGGTTTTTCTTGCCTGCCTCTATGAAGCCTTCTGGCTGCCTCATATAGATCTCTTCCTCCAAATCACCATGAAGGAAAGCTGTCTTTACATCTAACTGCTCGAGATTTAAATTCTCCGCAGCTACAATTTTCAACACCAGTCTGATTGTAGACAGTTTTACGACTGGAGAGAAAATTTCATTGTAGTCAATACCTTCTTTTTGCTGAAAACCTTTGACAACCAATCTTGCTTTGTAGCGTTTTCTCCCATCTGTTCTTCTTTGATCCTGTAAATCCACTTGTTATGGAGCGCTTTCTTGCCTGGTGGTAATTCAGCTAATTCCCACGTCTGATTTGACATAAGCGAGTCCATCTCATCTTTCATGGAAGACTCCCACTTGACTGAATCCTCCACCTGCATTGCTTCATCATAGCACTCTGGTTCACCATTGTCAGTCAGCAACAAATAGTGCAAAGAAGGCGAATACCGTTGGGTTGGTTTAGGAATTCTGGAGGAGCGTCTCAGTTCTGGTGTGCCTGGTTCTTCTTGAACTGCTTCAGGATTGATCTGAACATCATTTCCAGAAATCTCCTCGAACTCAGCAAATTCCTTTGTTTCAGCTTCGGTATTACTTGATTCTGCGGTTGACCTATCTTTGTACATCACATTTTCATTGAAAATGACGTCTCTGCTTCTGATGATCTTTCGATTTTCGTAGTCCCAAAACCGGTAACCGAACTCATCACCACCGTAACCAACAAAGACGCATTTGTTGGACTTGGCATCAAGTTTACTTCTTTCAGCAGAGTTTATGTGTACATAAGAAATACAACCAAACACTCTTAAGTGTGAAAGGTTTATTTCTTTCTTGCTCCAAGCTTCCTCTGGTATTCCGCCATCCAAAGGAACTGAGGGCCCACGGTTGATCAGGTAAGCTGCAGTGTTGATAGCTTCAGCCCATAGAAATTTGGGTAATCCGGCATGTATCCTCATGCTTCTGGCACGTTCATTCAGAGTTCTGTTCATGCGCTCTGCTACGCCATTCTGCTGCGGTGTTATGGGAACTGTTGTCTCCATCTTGATCCCATTGTTTGCGCAGAAATCTCTGAAACTACTGTCTCTGTACTCTCCTCCATTGTCAGACCTCAACCGCTTGACTTTCAAACCAGTCTCATTTTCCACCATGGCCTTCCATTTTCTGAAGGTATCAAAGACTTCTGATTTCTTCTTCAGAAAATAAACCCACACCTTCCTTGTTGAATCATCGATGAAGGTGACATAATATAGTGAGCCTGCAAGAGATGGAACAGGGGATGGTCCCCATACATCAGTATGAACCAATTCTAACCTTTCTGCCTTAGGAGTCTTGCCAATCTTTGTAAAACTGACTTTCTTTTGTTTTCCAAAGATGCAATCCTCGCATAGTCCGACATCTACATTCTTTAGATCCGGCAGCTTCCCTTTTGACAGAAGTATCTTCATTCCTTTCTCGCTCATATGGCCGAGCCTTTGGTGCCATAGGTTTGATTTTCCATCAGCATCTGCTACTGCAATGATATTCTCTAAATTGGAGGTTACATAGAGAGTACCGGTCTTCTTACCACGAGCAATGACGGGTGCTCCTTTGGTAATCTTCCATTCACAGCCTGAAAAAGTTGTACTATATCCTTCTCCATCAAGCTGCCCAACAGAAATCAGATTTCTTTTGAGGCCAGGAATATGTCTCACTCCTGTCAGCTTCCAGGTGGTCTGGTTTGGCAGCTTTAGTCGGATGTCTCCTTTTCCGACGATCTTCAAGGTTTCATCATCAGCTAGATGAACCTTCCCAAAATCACCACTGACATAGTTCTCCATGATTTCTCGGCATGGGGTGGAGTGAAAAGATGCCCCTGAATCCAAGATCCATGATTCAATCGGACTGTTGACGCTTAAAATCATTGCATCACCTGTCTCCTCCGTCATGTTGGCAGATTCCTGTGCGCCGGTATTTTTCTTCGGTGCTCGGCAATCTCTTTTGAAGTGACCCTTCTTGCCGCAATTATAACAGGTAAAATCTTTATTTCCTGTTCTTGATTTGCCCCTTCTGGATTTTGATCTTCCACGATTTGAATTTCTTTCTGAAGTTCTCCCTCTAGACTCCGTGTGCAAGGCTGAGGAGGTTGATGCTTCACCCGATTCTCTTCGTCGAATTTCTTCACTCAATACCAGATCCCGAACATCGTCGAATTTTAATTTGTTGTTTCCCGACGAACTGCTGACTGCTGTAACAGTAGCATTCCAACTGTCTGGTAGAGATGATAAGAGAATTAAAGCTCGAACTTCATCATCGAAATCAATTTCCACTGAACTCAACTGGGTTGTGATTGTGTTGAGTTCATTTAGGTGTTGTGCCACCGATGCCCCTTCCGCCATCCGCAAATTGAATAATCGCCTCATCAAATGAACTTTGTTTGAGGCCGATGGCTTCTCGTACATACTGGAGAGAGCCGCCATAAGACCCGCCGTGGTCTTTTCCTTTGCTATGTTAAAAGCAACATTGCGGGATAATGTCAGTCGGATAACTCCGAGGGCTTGTCTGTCGAGAAGAGCCCAATCTTCATCCTTCATGCCCTCTGGTTGCTTTCCTGAGAGAGGTTGATATAGATTTTTCTGGTACAAAAAATCTTCAATCTGCATCTTCCAAAAGCCAAAGTCCGCACCATCGAACTTTTCAATTTTCACATTCCCTTCGTCTGCAGCTATCGCTCCCACTCGAATCTGGCTTCGTTTGGATCGTTTCTGACAATTCTTGCGAATCACCGTGTATTAGAACACCACCGTCGACAAACTCGTATCGCCGACCGAATTTCACTATTCACGAAATTCACTATTCACGTGAATAGTAATGAATAGTAACATCGCAGAAAATTTGACAAAATTCACAACCAAAAGCTCTGATTACCAGTTGTTAGGAAAATAAACCGAGTACAAGTAATTTTCCTATAACCAGATTAGTGAGAATGCGAAATAAAAGCGAAAAAATAATACCCGAAAATTGATAACGGAGTTCAGCCAATTGTGCTTACGTCTCCGGGCTGCTGCAGATCTTTTACTAAGAGAGAAAATTTACAGGTGTTTACAAAACACTCACTACTCACAAGAAAGCTCTCTAGTATATGAAGAAAGAAATGTTTTGGGATGATTTTGAAGCTAAATGGGTAAGGGTATTTATAGTAGAAACTTATGGACTAATATTTAAAAATACCATAAAGTGCAATGACTAAAGTGAATTTACCCATTCCTATTTTCAACAAACATCTACCAAAATTTTACCAAACTTTGAAAAACATTTTTCAAAGAAACATTTACCAAACTTTGAAAAAACATTTTCCAAAGTTGGTTGCCAAACTTTGAAACTTTTAACAGATATTCGAGTCTTTGTAAGCTGTAACTAAACGTAAAACTTGTGAGATTCGAATTATGTTCCTACCCTCTCAGATAAATTATGAACTTCGGCTGCTCGACTCCGGCGAGAAAGGCCAGATCGTTGGGGTGGATTATTTGCAGCAGCAGATTGAAGTTCAGCGGCCTGAAGAAGTAGACAAACAGTTTTATGTTCATACCTGAAATTACAGCTCACGTTTAAACGGAAAACTGTCAAGGACAGTGAAAACGAGTTTCACCTCACTTTGGCACTCATAGTCCTCCCCGTCTCTGCTCTTCCTCTTATGGCTACTCACGAATCCAGACCCACCTGAAGAACAAGTAACAGTGGGTTCAATAGTCTTGGTTTTTCCTTTCTTGCTTTGAACAACCCCTCTTCGAGCATCATCTTTCGATGTCTCCGTCGATAAACCGGTCACCGTAGTTCCGAAACCATTGCTCGATCCTCGGCTAAAGTAGATATCGTTACGAACTTGATTGCTGCCACAATAACTTGATCCAACCGCCATTCCCGAACACTCAACTTCTGTTGGTATTGAACTGCCACCGTTACTCTTGCTTAAATCTTGTAAATTCTTCTCTTGTGCCGAATTGAGCTGAAAATTGGGAGGCGGCATCGGCACGGGATTCCCACGAAACTCCGGCATTGAATAATTAACATTAAGTTGGTTTGAATTTGCAGTAGTTTGATGATGACCCGGTAATTGTCTGCTGGACTTATTATTGTTATCAGCTTCCACTGGATCAGACGAAGGGAGTTGAGAGAAAAAATTGGAAAATAACTCTTTCTCAAAGGAATCTTCAACAGGGTATTGGATCCATGACACTGTTTCATCATCATGAATTAGATTACTTGAATTTCCATATGATAAACTACCCGCTCTTAATGTTGGTTGATCATTATTTTGTACTTGTTTTCTGTGATTTTGGCTGCTCAAAACTACCTGACCATTTTCCCATAATAACTCCACCAGTTCATTATCTTGACTGCAAAATTTGATAAACAGAAAAAGAATAAATAATTTCAAGAGATAGCAAAATATTGAAAAGCAAAGCTAAGAACATATGGTGCAGACCCCATTGATTTTCTGTGGTTGGAGATTGGGAGCTCAGACTCAAAATTCCAATCAGGAACTGAGTGGTTCATGGCTAAGCTGACAGATACTCTGCAAACCAAAATCATTATTAGTTAATTAACACGCAGATGAAACAACAAATAAATTATTAGTTAATTAAAAATACTAGTACTAATAACTAAGATTCTGTTTAATTCAAAAAATTAAATAAAGTTATGGTAGAAGAGTAGGAGGGGAAAGAGACCATCAATCATATTAATATTATTTTATATAATATAGTATGAAAAGAGCAAAGCTTTTTGTAAAGAAATTGAAAACCCATTATGAAAACTATGCAGAAGAAAGCTGCAGAAAATTATAAGAAAGTTTCTTATTCATTCTTGCCCTGTTGTAGTTTTCAGTTTGAAGACAAGCTAACAAAGTCGGAAAAAAAAGAATGAACCTTCAAAAGGAAAACACTAACCTGGAAATGAAAAGAGAAGAGAAGAGAAGAGAAGCAGTGACTCCAGAGAAAAGCTGAAGGTGTTTGTTTGTGTGGGAAAATTGAGAAGGGAAGAAGAAATAGAAGGCGAAAGGCTGAAACAAATTCTGGTGTAACATCAAATGCAATTTCATTTATTTATTTTGGTAATTAAATTCCACGCGGCGTGTGGTTTGGATTATGCTTTTTTCATGAATCTGGAAATCTATAAGTTAACGCCCATGGAGTGTGTGATCCGGCAGAGGGAACGCCACGTAGGCAGAGCATATGGTTCTGATTGGCTAATGAATGATGAATGGGACAATACACATTCTGTGACTTTTACGGTGGCTGCAGAATAAAGGTGTAGCGTCGTTGTTGAAGAATCCTGAATCTAATTTAGCTGCTTTATGTGAATATGGTTAATACATCGAAACATGTTTAAACATGTTGAAATCAAAATTCATTTGAATTATAAAATAGTTTATACAATTTTGAAATTAGTATTAAAACAGTGTATAAAACAACAAATAATCATAATAAGTGGATGTTCTAAGAGGAAGGCATCTAGTTGACTACATGGAGCGTCATCATATAAATGACATAGACTTAATTCTTGGTATATAATAATAATTAGGAAAGTGGACATTTTATTTTGTCAAATCAAGATCTATGCAGGTCTATGAGTTGGATATGTCGTGTACTTTATGTTATCTTCTCATCTCTTTTATATAATAATGGCCATAGAATCTATGCCTATTTCTATCTACTTTCAGCATATCGATTCACAACTTGCAGATGTATACACTTTCTTTTACCCACTATAAATGGGTATAAATTTGATGGTATGTAATAAATTTTAAAAGATTAATGGTATTAAGGGTTATTGTTTGATATGCAATTCGTGTAAAATTAATTTTAGATAAACTATTTATTTTCATTCTAAATTTAAAATTTAAAATCTTAACCCTGAATCATAAAACTTAAATCCTTAAATTTTAACCTAAACTCTAAATCTTAAATAAAATCCATAAACCTTAAAATAGACAATTTTTTATAAACTAAACTTTACACAACCCGTGTGTATAATATAATTCTTCTTTTATTAATTGCAAAATTGATATGAAAGATATCTTAATTACATTAAAATATTAAATATATATTTTATAATGGATAAATAACTTAATTTAGATTAATCGACAAATAACTCAAATATTAGTAGTTATAAAAAGAAAGGTTTATATAACAAATTAACTCCGACCGAATTAGACGATAATCAAGTTTATACATGAAATTATCTTAACATAACTCAAATATGAGTTTTGATGTTTGGTATTAATTTTCGCCCTTTAAAATGGCCGTTTAAGGATGCTTGTAATGCTATCTAATTGTGCAAAATTCAAAAAATGCTCTATCAGGCATAAAGTAGTGATACTTTTGGATAATGTTTCGGATTTTGCACAAAAAGATAGCACAACAAGCATCCTTGAACGGTCATTTTAAAGAAAAGAATTCATACCAAAATCATATGATACTTTTGTGGAACCCAAACAATAACTTGAGTTCGTTTCCCCCCCCCCCCATATATAAATCAGCCTATTTCGGATTAGACAATAATAAAAATTACTATTTTAAGTAAAATGTGTCCTAATTAAACGCTGAATTAAAAATTCGTATAAACACTAAAAATTTTGTTGATTAATAAAATAGCCAACAACATGGGAAGACAGTCGGATGGCTTCTTAAAGAATGGAGTAGATTACCAACAAGAATTGGTTCAAGAGATAAACAACTTGATATCGCTTAAGCAAGGTCTTAAGTTTGAGTCCTTGTGCATGCAAAAAATCTCTACCGAGAGACTCACCCACCAAAACGTGTGCAATGCGGGTCAGTCCAAATTAATGATATTGATTTTCATAGGAGGTAACGTAATAAACGTTTGTCGATCCTAATTGAATGGCTTGGGAGGTGATGGTTTAAGCTTGGACGTTGCGCGTGTCAACACATGATCATTGTGGATGTGTTCGCACAAATAGTAGACAATTAGTATGTGGTCGCCTGCAGGTTAGGATGTTTGCACACTCCTTATGTTCGCGAGTAGTATCGGTTAAGCTCAGGTTTGCGGATCTATTAGTCCACGGGGTTATTAGTTCACAGCTAATAACATATTTAATCATAAAGTTTTTGCATAATGAATCAATTAAGATGCCTTTTCAATTCAAAAAATATTTTTGATCACAAAATTTTAAATAAGTGCTCAATAAATAATAGGGTAAACTACATAAATGGTCACTAAGTTTTGAGTAAATTTTTTGTTTTCTCACTAAAGTTTCAAAACTAACAAATTGGTCACTAACATTATCAGTTTATAACATATTGGTCATTAACATTATTGTTTTGTAACAAATCGATAACTCGACATTAGCATAAGTTAATGTTGATTGTCCCTTAAACTCTTTGTTGACTGCCACCTCTTTAATTTTAAATAAAGAAAACTCAATTTATAAAAACTAATTTACCATCTTTGAGTTTTATCATCCCTAAAACCCATTCATCTCTTATGCAAAAACATATTACAAGTGAAGATGAAAGAGTCCATGGACATCAATCCACCAGATTGACATATGTGTCCCATGTTTCTCCCATATTTGTACAAGCTCCAATCAAGAAAGGTTTTTTCGATTTTATGGTCGATTTTCGCATGAGAGGAGTTTATGAAATTGTTTCAGAGACATCAGTTGCTCCAATCGAACAAGTTAAACTTCTAATCCAAAACCATGATGAAATGATCAAATTCGGGTTGTGTGACTAATGTTGAAACTTAGAAGCACTTTTAAGTGCATTAATGCATCTGTTGAAATAAATGAAGGTTTTTAAACGACTGCAGTAATGAAATCAATTTTATTAGAAAGGAAAAATCATTCATTTAGTCCCTAAACTTTAGGCTATTTACAAAGTAGATCCCTAAAACTCAACTATAAATAACTTAGCCATTTATCATTTCTACATATCCAAATAATTCCATTATTCTCTCATACATTAGAGAAATTGTTTTTGTTTTATTCTTGTTAAATCGAGAGAAGTTGTAACTCTTGATTTCTTATAGTGAAATTCTTCTACATTTGCCCGTGGTTTTTACCTTATATTATTTAGGGGTTTCCACGTAAAATTTTTGTTTCCTTTATATTTATTATTATTTTCTAAAATTATTAGTTATGATTTTACTCTATTCAACAACTGTATTCCGCAACAATTGGTATCAGAGCCTGATTTGAGTGTGTAACATCTACTTATTGTCTTTGTGGTTGCTACTAACAGGTAGATTCTCTAACATAAGAAAGTAATAAGATATTATACATTCTTCAAAGGATCTAGGGAACTATTCACATTAAATAGTGAAATAGTATGAGCTATCTGTAATAGAAGCTATGACAACGAAATTTGATATTGAAAAGTTTAATGAAAGAAACTTTTCACTATGGAAATTAAAGATGAAGGCTATCATGAGGAAAGATAATTGTTTAGCGGCTATCAGTGAAAGATCGACAAATTTCACAGATGATAACACATGGAACGAGATGCATGGAAATGTTATGGAAAACCTTCATTTAGCATTAGCAGATGAAGTATTGTCAAGCATTGAGGAGAAGAAGACAACCAAAGAGATTTAGGATCATCTTAATAAATTGTATGAGGCCACATCGTTGCACAATAAACTTTTTCTTAAGAGGAAATTGTACACTATTCAGATGTCAAAATCTACTTCAGTGACAGAGCACTTAAACGCGTTGAATATTTTATTTTCTCATATTGCATCTTTAAGTTGTACAATAGTAGAACAAGAACGTGATGAACTTCTGCTTCAAATCTTACCTGATATGTATGATCATCTCATCATCAATTTGAAAAATAGTAATGTTACTAGTCTAGTCTTCGATGATGTTGTAGCTGATGTTTTACAAGAAAAAATTAGTGCAAGAGCAAAGAAGACAGACAAGTGAATCTGTAACAAGCAGAGACATTGACAGTGATGAGACGTAGATAACTAGAATGTGACCAAAGTAGCAGTCACAACAATGGTAGATCAAAGTCAAGAAGTAAGAAGAATTTAAATTTCTACAATTGTGGAAAGAATGGTCACTTGAAGAAGGATTGTTGGTGTTTACCTAAAAACTCCAATCCACAAGGAATTATTGCAAATCCTTCGGATGATGATAATGCTTTAAGTTGTGAGGCATCAACAACCATGAAAGGTAGAAAGATATTTGTAGATATATGACTTACTGATTTAGGAGCCACATATCACATGATCTCAAGAAGATAATGGTTCAATTATTATGAACCTATCTCAGGAGGATCTGTGTACAATTACAATGATCATGCCTTGGAGCTTGTTGGCGTTGGAACCATCAAATTGAAGATGTATGATGGAATAATTAAAGTTGTTCGAGATGTGCGGCACATGAAAGGATTGAAGAAAAATTTATTATCTTACGAATTATTGGATAATAATGCAAGAAAGATTGAAACAAATAAATGAATCATGAAAGTGTTCCATGGAGCGCTTGTAGTGATGAAAGGTGAAAAGATAGCAGAGGATTTGTACATGTTGAGGGGAAATACCTTGTTAGAAACATAAGCTTGTAGTTCATATTATACAATGTTATGGCTTCAGAAACTTGGAAACATGTCAGAACAAGGAATGAAATTCCTTGTAGAGTAAAAGCTACTTCTGGGGTTAACAAATGTATCACTTACTTTGTGTGAACATTGCATTACAAGTAAGTAACATCAGTTAACATTCAACACATCAAATTCTAGAGGTAATGTTGTTCTAGAATTGATTTATTCTGATATATGTCAAGCACCGATTACATCCCTAGGTGGAGCAAAGTAGTTTATCTCATTCATTGATGACTACTCTAGGAGATATTGGGTGTATCCTATAAAAAAGAAGTCATATGTATTTTCAACTTTCAAAGCTTTCAAAGCGCGGGTGGAACTCGATTATGGAAATAAAATCAAGAGTTTCAGATCAGATAATGGAGGTGAATATACAAGTGATGAATTTGATGACTTTTGTATAAAAGAAGGCATCAAAAGACAGTTTACGACGGTATACACTCCTCAACAAAATAGAGTTGCAGAACGGTTGGACATAACTCTATTAG